TTTTTTTTTTTTTTGAGACAGAGTCTAGCTCTGTTATTCAGGTTGGAGTACAGTGGTGTAATCTTAGCCCATTACAACCTTCACCTCCTGGGTTCAAGTGATTCTCCTGCCTTAGCCTCCCTAATAGCTGAGATTACAAGTGCCCGGCACCATGCCTGGCTAATTTTTATACTTTTAGTAGAAACGGGCTTTTATCACATTGGCCAGGCTGGCCTTGAACTCCTGACCTCACATGATTTGCCAGCCTCAGCCTCCCAAAGTGGTGGGATTACAGGCGTAAGCCAGCACACCTGATCAAAATAAATTGTTTTAATACTTATCTTTCCTTAAAGAGTTCTGTTCCCTTTCTGTATTCATAGATGCACAGGTATTATAGAATTCTTGAGGTAGAAAGATTTCCTGGAGAAAATTAGAGAAGCTAGCTTTGTTCAGTGAGTTGTCAGAGGCCCCAGAGCTAGTTTGCCAGCAAAACCAGAGCTTCCTTTTCATCTTGTAAATTAAACAAAAACTTTCTACCCAAAATGTAATGTACTTTATAGATTTACATTTCAGACGTTAGTTTGATTTTAAGGAATAACAATCAAAGACAGGGAGTTCACAGTCTTTTTCCTAGTCTGCTAGACAGCGTCTGCAAACAAGAAAATAGACCTCCACTACATTTCCATTGATTAGATAAATGAATGATGTCCCAACGCCTTGTCTCACTCTCACACAAACCGCCTGCTGGCTCCTTGCCTGTTATGCTCATTTCCTCACTGTCTCCTAAACCCTGAACACTCTTACAAGCTAGTGATCAAAGCTCAAAAAGTGGATTGGTTTTGAGGACCGATGGTGAGGGAGGAAGGGAGAAAGGAAGACCAAAATAGAGCAGTCAATTTTTTTGGAAATTTAAAGCCATAGATAAAATTGAGGTCAGTAAAAATGAGGGACATTAAAAAACCTATTTACCACTAATTTTCTAAGGCTGTTTATATACCAAAAGTCACTGCTATTTTAAGACATAAAATGTAAAATATGAAGACCTAGCAAAAAAAATTTAAGATGTGGAAATGTCCCGAAACGATGAGAGACAAAGCTTTTCCCCCCTCTCTTTTGAGTTGGGTCTGCTTTCCTTATCTTCTTACCTTTAGTCCCAAGTTCAAATCAAATGTGAACAGTTCCCTGGGTTCCCACAGAGGGGCAGCAGCACACGAGGCCCAGGAGATGGTTAGGGCAGGCTCTGGCCCCCGCCCATAGAACATTCTCTGATTTACACTGACAGACTCACCACGCCAATGTGAGAACCCTCCGTTGGCACCACCCTGAGCTGAGACTCCACGTCCCCCACACCTAGGCCTTCACTGCTTCTAGAAAGCTGGCTGGACTCATTCACACAAGGTTAGGTCACTAGACCTAAAGTCCTGAGGGTCTTTCTCCCACCCTCTCCACCAGAGGAATTAGGAGTACAGTACAGACCACCAGGCCTCAGGAAATGTAGGGTTACTTCCAAGGAAATCTTGCTAGCTGGAAAGACAGTGAAAGAAGGTAGAGAGAGCCCTGGCCTCGGGGCACACAACTTGAGGGCTGGGCCTGAGCTGCTTCGTCCTAGTCCCATGGAGTTGCTTACCATCCGCAAGCATCTGTCCCTTCACCAGTGAAGTGGGGTGATAATAACATACATCTTTGGAGAATTTTGAGATTTTCATAAGAGGAAATAGTGCAATGGAAGCTGTTCAGGTCACAGAATGCTCTGATTATTTTTACTAAAGCCTAGCCATAGAATAAACTAAGAACCAACCAATGAAGATTTGTTCTTCGTTCCTTATAATACTTGGAAAGGCGCAAGCCAACAGTTTTTACTCTGGAGCCTGTGATGTTTCATCATTGAGAGAATAAATTGAGCCATTTCAAATCCTGCAAAGAAGAAAGTTTACTCTTCAGATCCAGGATTTTCCAAGTTGATACTAGGACCTCAACTCTACTGTACATGTGTAGGAATAGAGTTTCCTTCCCTGCAACCGACGTTTCCCTTTAATAAACATAACTGAGCACATTTTCCCTGAGTTCATCGACTGAAAGCTTCCACTGTGGGGGACTGATGGTGCTAGCATCCACAGTGGTCAAAAAGATACTATATTTTAATCAGCTTTTTGATACTTTGCTACAACTCATATAGCTACATTCCAAAACATGAAAGGATTGAGGAATTCTCACACACTCATCTTTCAAGTCTAGATAGCACCTTAATCTGTCCAGGGCTGGACAGATGGAAAAACTATTGTGTTGCTTTGTCTAACACCCAACCCTGGGCAGTGATAGCCATAGCGCACCCACAGGATCTGAGGGTGCTAATTTCCCAACTCCCCTCTCTCCCCATGGCAGAGGGAATCAATCACACAGTCTGACCACCTCTGACTCCACGGGTTCCCTGGTCCTTCCTGGTGTCTCATTGATTTGGCTTCTCCTCTTTTCTCCCTTAGGACTACTGAGGGCCCCTTTCGCTTTAGCCCACAAATCTCCACCACAGTGTGAGGCAGGGGACATCATCAGTGTTTTCATGATGGAAAAACTAAGCCTCAGAGAGCTCTGGTGGCTTGCTCTGAACAAGGACTCAGACTTGGGGCTTCTAACTTTTTAGCCAGGAATCCTGCAACCTTTAACTCAGACGGAGCAGATGTCGGGGGCCCATTTGCAGAGGGGTCTGAATAAGGCGGACAAGGGTGAGATCCACACACTTGGACCAATTCCCAAAGTGCCTCTCCCCAGAGAAATGGCAACAGCTCTGAGGCTTCAGCTTATCCCCCGAAGGCGGGAGGGGAGAGTGGGAAAAGATGGGGTTTTCAAGTCATCAGGCCAGCACTGAAGTACACAAACAATGACTGGGTGACCCCACATACAGAGATGGGCTCTGACGCAGGGGTTTGTCATTCCTCCTAAATCCCGGTAGGAAATAAGAGATGCAAGAATTGGGATGGAATGTAAACTATTTCTTAAGGAAGCATGCTAGCATCTCTTCCTCCAAGAGTGCTACTCTGGAGAGAACTTTCTCCCCGATTCTTAACTGTGGTTATGCAAACCCTTGTTAGAAAAGGGAAGGAAGGGTGCCGTGAGAAGCCTGCAGGGGAGGGCACGGTGTTCGGATGAAGCGGCACCCCCTCCAAGCCCATGAGAGGCCCCTGCCAGATGCTGTGAATTTCATTCATTTCTTCTGTGACTTCCCAGAGATTCCTCTCCATGCTAACCCTCAACACTCCAATGACCCCCTCTTCCTTCCATCTCATCCCACCACCCTCCACACCCTTCCTCCCCTCCACCCTCATGCTCATACACATGCAAAGGATAGCAAGATGTCCACACTGTGAGAAAAGAAAGCTGAATGCATCATTTTAACTTTTGTCCACCCATGTTGAGAACAGTGCACCTGAGCTGGGGGGAGAGGGTGGGTTGCAGACATGAGCACGACGGGAAGGCTGGGCCAGAAGTGAGGAACGTGAGATGCTAACAAGGGCAGGCAAGGCCGTGATCAGAGGCAGAGCCCATAGACCTGGAAACAGGAGCCCACAAAGCTGGAAAAGACCCTGGAGACCACACAGGGCTGCCTTCCTCTTCCCGATGGGGAACGGAGGCTCCTGTCCTAGGCTGCACATCCATTGGGGGGTGGTGGTCTAGGTGTGTTTGGGAGATGGGAGGCAGGTAAGAGCCCTAGAAAGTCAGGTGTTCATGGATGACAGGAGGGTGTGGCTGAATTCCAAGGCTGTGCTTCAGTTCTGGAAACCTCCACAGCTCCCTGGAGCCTCCCCCATTGTTCCCAATGCCCATTCTGGAGAACAGACTTTGCTTTCGCCCTTGTCTTTCTGCAAGGGTGGGGAGGATATGTGCCCAGTCACGTCTCCATCCCCTCCTCTGAAACTGGAGCTGTGGAGCTCTATTTCTCAAAGTGGTTAAGAGGAGTCACGGGATGTGAGAAAATGCCTAGCACATCACAGGGCCCAATAAATATCTGGGTACCTCCTTTGTCCTTCCTTCTGGTGTTCCCCCATAAAGTATGCCTGACTTTTCTTCTCCCATCTTTGGCAGAAATCTTGGGAAATAGTTGATCCTTGCCTCCTTCTAAACGAAACGTTTTCAGCCTGGAAGGTGGCAGAGGACAGAGCCAATGCCAGGCCTGGGAAGGCTGCGGCTCGTGGGTACCTCTGCTGTCAAGGTGTGGCCCATTCAAGCAGAGGACAGAACCAATGCCAGAAATTGGGGGCCAGGGTGGCATGTCTGTCCCCTGGCCTCCTTTTTTCTGCTGGGTTTCAGGCCATGCGAGTTCTTACCTTGAGAGGCAGAGTGGCAGGCGGGGCTGGGCAGCCCTTGCTGGTGTGCACGGCTGGACAGTACCTGTAGAGCCGTGCCCTTGTCGCCTGCACTGCGGGACCTGTGGCCTCCTTACAGCTCCCAGGGAGTATTTGGCAGGTCTCGGCACCTCTCCTCAGCACATTCTTTTCCTCTCCATCTGCAGTGTGGACCAGGACAGCCCTTGGAGGGAAGCATCCCAAGTTATCCCTGCATCGGGGGTCCATGCCCCACAGGTCCTGGGTGGCAGAAGTGACTGGCCAGTGCTTCCAGCCCATGGAGGGACTGCTGCTTTCGTCACTCATGATGGGAGCTGGGCTAGGAAGCCTCCATGCCCGGGGCTGTAGCCCGCCCAGCGTCTTGGAGGCAGGGGCCTGGCAATGCCTGTAATGTGGGGATCTGTAATCGCCACCCCTGCTTACATCCGGATCCTGGGATTTTTTCCTCCCTTCCTTCTTTTCCCTTGGAGCAGAGCAAGTGAAAGCAGCTGGTTCCTCCGTCTCAGGGCCTGCCTTCTGCAGCAGCCTCAAAGGAGGGGCAGCTGAGCCCTGTGTGCGCCTGAGGTCCCGGCCTGCCAAGAAGCCTGTCCTGGGACTTGGGAAACTGTGTCCCTCCTCCAGGCCCCCTGGGGTTGCCGCTGGAGACGGGGCGGGGAGAGCGCAGGCTGGAGGAGCCCGCAGCTGGATGAAGAGGAAGGAAGTTTTCATCTGCTGCTGCTGAAACTGCCCAGCCATTTCCTCCAGGGGGGTCGGGCTGGTCCCTGCCAGGGTGGAGTTTCAGGCCTCAGTGCCCAGGGATGCGAACAGCAGCAGCTGTGGGCAGACGTGACTCAGCCCCATGGTTCCACCGACAGCCTGAGGAAGCAAACAGCAAGTCTTCAGCTCCGGGGGAGTCTTAAACTAGGGGGATCAGATAATGATTGTGGGCATGGAGCTGGACTCTGCGCCTATATCGCAGAATCAGAAAAAGATAGTAGTGGAGAATAATCTACAAGTGAGGGGTGGCAGTGAGGACAGCCAAGACAACCCCTCTCACCTTTGTTTTCGCTTTTGTTGAGACAGAGTCTGGCTCTGTTGTTCAGGCTGGAGTGCAGTGGCATGATCTCAGCTCAATGCAACCTCCGCCTCCCGGGTTCTAATGATTCTCCTGCCTCACCCTCCCGAAGAGCTGGGATTACAGGCACCCGCCACCACGCCCAGCCAATTTTTGTATTTTTCAAGTAGAGACGGGGTTTTGCCATGTTGGCCAGGCTGGTCTTGAACTCCTGACCTCAGGTGATCCATCCGCCCCACCTTGGCCTCCCAAAGTGCTGGGATTACAGGTGTGAGCCATCGCAGTCGGCTCCCTCTCGCCTTTGTGTATCTAAATGGAATCACTTTTTCTTCACTGTCTCCTTCCTCTTATTTGAAATGAAAACACTATTCATTTCAGAGTTTAATCCTAAATTCTGTGTTAGCTATTCTTGTGATTTGGTGACTGACCCGTGAGACACTGCTTTATAAACAAAGCCTCCAATAAACTTTGAAGTGTACTTTTCATCTACTTTGTTTGCATTATTTTTACTAAATACTTTTAAGCCTCTAGGATAAAGTGTACAACAGACAGTTGTAAGCAACTTTAATGTTGTCATGAATTTGCACTTTAAATCCTGCGGTCATTTCTGGGTTCTCTAGGAGGGGTCCCACATCAAAATACTTGGTGTCATGGTTTGTGTCCCCTCCAAAATTCTGGTACTGCCAACGTGATAGTAGGAAGAGAGGGGTGGCGTTTCAGAGGCAATCGGATCTGAATGTGCTTCCTTCATGAATGGGATTAACACCCTTATAAAAGAATCTTCACACAGCTGTTGAGCAGTAGGTTGCCCTTCTGCTTTCCACCCAATGAGGACACAGTATTCCTCCCCTCCAGAGGACATAGTACTCACCAGACAAGGCACCAGGTACTTCCAGTCCCCAGAACTGTGAGAAACCAAATTTCACTTCTTTTTAAATTACCCAGTCTATGGCATTTTCTTAGAGCAGCATGAAAGAAACTTGGTATTAACTCACCCTCCAAAATGGAAAAAAAGTGGTATTTTGTTGCAGCTGTGCAGAAGACACTTAGCATCAAAGAAAGAGAGAGGGAGAAAAGAAGAAAGAAGGAAGGAAGGAAGGAGGGAGGGAAGAAAGAAGGAAGGAAGGAAGGAAGGAAAAAAGAAAGAGGAAGGAAGGAAGGAAGAAAAAGAAAGAGAGAGAAATAGAAAGAAAGATGGAAAGAAAGGAAGAAAAAGAAAGAAAAAAATTAAGAAAAAAGAAAAACATAAGAGAGAAAGAAGAAATAAGATTAAAAAAAAAAAAAAAAACCCAGGTAACAAATCAGGCTGGAAGGGTTTTTTTGTGGTGGTGGTGGTTTTAAAAAAAAATTAACCCAACCCAAATAAAAAAAAAAAAAAAAAAATCTAAACCTTTTAACTTGTGAGAACATGGTAGTGCTTTTTAAAAATGGAGATCATTTCTTTCTAGCAAATTGTAACAGGTAATTGAAAAGCATAATAAATAAAAAATGAGACAAAAGGAAGAAGAAAAGAAATCACCTTAAAATTCAGTTGAGTCACTCACATTCATGGTATTTCTATAGGCTCAGTACTTCTCAGAGGGAAAGGAACCTTTCTGAGTCATGCTGACCTTGTACCTGAGGAGGAAAGAAGGCAGGTGTGAGAAAGCTCCAGTCTTCATCAATGTGAAATAACTTGACTAAAAGGGAACCAGGAAATCATCCTCCAAAACAAAGTGAGCATGTGGTCTAGAACTTCCTTGCTCTGCATGCAGCATCATGTCAAGTCTGGGTGAATTCTCCCTCCCTGACTCCTCAGCATCCCCACACATGGGCAGCACCCCTGGGGCATCAGGGGCCACTGGCCCTGGCTGACCACGGTAGGCCAGGCTGAATCCTTGGAAATTCTCAGGATGCCAGGATGCCCGGTCGGAGTCTCATGATAGTTTTCCTTGTTAAACATCTTCACACAGTTTTTTCACCAAAGGTTAAGGAAGTTTTGCTCACGTTTCCAGATAGCTGGCAAGTGACTCAATCTACATCTCATTTAGAAATGTGCTCAAATCTGTTTAGGCCAGGCAAAGGCTGCTATAATCCTTTTTATCACAAATACCAGTACAGAGAATATTTTGACAAAATCATATACGTCCAAGTGTAATTGTAGGTTGATCTCATTACATTAATGTTCATGAAACATTTTACATAAGTGATGTCCAGTCCTCTATAGGTAATTTTCACACTCTCTTATACAAGAACTTGTCTGAACATTACAATCACTCTACAAACAGTACTGTATGTTGACTGATTAACTGCCAACAACATAGGAAGCTGTGTCTTCATATGGAACAGGAATTTGGGTGAGAAGAAACCAGCATTTTGTTTTAGCTTCCGAAGGTGCCAACCATGATGTCAGGTGCTTTGCACAGTGTATTTCATTCAACACACAGCACAATCCTGTGAAGTAGGTGGCATCATTTCTATGTTGCAGTTAAGGAATGTGAAGCTCAGGGAAGGCATCACTGCCCCAAGTAGGCAGGGGCTTTAAAGAGCCGTCAGATGAGAAGTTTCACTCCTTCACCTCTTTCCATTTCAAACATCCAACTTCTAAACCAAATGAAGTAAAGTATCAAGGAAACCATGGTGGCGCGGGCAGCATGTCCAGGGCACTTCTCTCTTCTTTTTATTTGCAAGCTCACCACAGTGGGGATTACTGCCCAACATTTCATTTCTGGGTTGTGCGGGCTGAAATAGGAGAAGGGTAAAGAAATGGTGGATGACACTTGAGAGCTGACAGGAGTGCTGACTTGGAGGATTCATGTAAGACATTTTCTTGGGACACCCTTAAGTATTAGGAGGCACATTTAGGGGATGGGAGTTCTGTATGAGATGTTGAGGAAAGTGCCAGAGAAACACAAGTAAACAGCAGAGTGATTTGAGAGCATAGACTTTGGTGCCACGCAGACATTTCTCAGCCCTACTTCCACTGTGTGGCCATGTGACCTTAGGCAAGTGTATCAGTCTGCTCTCATGCTGCTGATAAAGACGTACTAGAGACTGAGTAATTTATAAAGGAAAGAGGTTTAATTGACTCACAGTTCTGGAGGACTGGGGAGGCCTCATGAAACTTACAATCATGGCAGAAGGGGAAGCAAACATGTCCTTCACATGGTGGCAGCAAGGAGAAGTGCAGAGCAAAGAAGGGAAAAGCCTCTTATAAAACCATCAGATCTTGTGAGAACTCACTCAATACCATGAGAACAGCACGGAGGTAACCCCACCCCCCATGATTCAGTTACTTCCCATTGGGTCCCTCCTGTGACACGTGGGGGATTATGGGAACTACAATTCAAGATGAGATTTAGGTAGGGACACAGCCAAACCATATCAACAATTTACTTGGCCTTTTTGACAATCAGGTCCTCTTCTCTAAGATGAAGTAACAATAACTACTTCGTTTTTAATAAAAGCCATTCTGACTTGTGTGTGATGGTATCTTATTGTGGCTTTGATTTGCATTTCTTTAATGATCTGTGCTGTTGAGCTTTTTTCATATAGTTGTTGACCACCTGTGTGTCTTCTTTTGAAATGTATTCATATACTAACATGAGAACAGAAAACCAAATACTGCATGTTCTCGCTCGTAAGTAGAAGCTAAGTGACGAGAACACATGAGCACATAGAGGGGAACAACACATACTGGGGCCTATTGGAGAGTGGAGAGTGGGAGGAGGGAGAGGATCAGGAATAATAACTATTGGGTATAGGCTTAATACTGGGTGACAAAATAATCTGTACAACAAATTCCCAGGACACAAGTTTACCTATATAACAAACCTGTACGTGTACTCCTGAACTTAAAAGTTAAAAAAAAAAAAAAACAGCTACTTTCAAGGGCTGTTGTGAAAATTAAGTGTAGGTGCAAAAGGCTTCCTTAGCATAGTGCCTGTTACGTAATTGGTTCTGTATAATAAATGTTAGTTACTTTTAGAATTGAGACCCACATGTTATCCTGGAGAAAATTTGTTCACCCAACAGAACAATTTGAGTTGTTTCATGAAATATATACTTTTTTAAACCAGCAATAGGTAATTACATGCATGTTTTTATGCTTCCTGTCTGATGGGAAAGCACCTAAGAGCTGAGGAATTAATTGGGATGTGGGAGGGTCAGGAATGGATTTGGGGTCAGGGGAAATGGGTTTGAGTTCTGGAGTAACTAATCATTAGCTGTGACTCACAGCAGGTTTGAACCTCCGTGGACATTGTTTTAACACAACGAAGTAAATTTCTGCCCTTCCTACTTTATGGAATTGTTTTGCAGGTCAAATGGGATAATCTATGTAGGAATACTTTATACACATAAAACTGATATAAGGTCACACACCACATGACATTTCGGCTAGTGATAGGTTGTCCCATAAGATTATAATGGAGCTGAAAAATTCCTATCATCTAGTGATGTCATCACTGTCATAATGTCATAGCACAGTGCATCACTGATGACGCTGGTGTAAACAAACCACTATGCAGCCAGGCACATACAATTATGTATAGTATGTAATACTTGATAATAAATGACTATGTTACTGGTTTATGTATTTACTATTTTATCATGATTTTAGAGTGTACTCCTTCTACCTATAAAAAAAAGTTGGCCAGGCATGGTGGCTCACGCCTGTAGTCTCAGCACTTTGGGAGGCCGA